ATATACATTCCACACAGCTTATCTTAATTAACATAAACTAGATACAGCAGTCAACCAATAAGGAATCTCCACACTTAATTGCTTGCTGGCCTTACTTCACAAACCACTCCCTCTGGCAAAATGCCAGGTGCCATCTTGACTTGTTTACAGACCCTAACAGATTAACATATTTACTATGGGATTAATTTAAAGGATTAGTAGAAATGAAAATGAAGTTATAGTTTGATTAGGACTCGTGTTTTGTGTTAATTTTTTCTACTAATGATATTTTTTTACTTTATTTATTTATGTGTTAGTTTATTTACTTATTTATTTATTTTTTAGATGAGATCATCCTGTATTGCCCAGTCTGGTCTTGAACTCCTAGGCTCAAGTGATCTTCCTGCCTCAGTCCACTGTGAGCTAGGACAAGAGGTGTGCACCACTGTGACTAGTGCTATACTTTTAAAATTTCATCTACTCCACACATTAGAGTTAATGCTTTTAAAGTAATATCTCCATAAGTGAAGTCTGTGGTTGAGATTTCCACACCACAAAGATAATTTCAGTGTATTTCTTACATCTGCCAGTAAAATTACCATTTAGATTCTATAGTGGCCTGTCCCTAAGGTCACACCCTTTTGTAACTCTCCCCCATGCTGAATAACATCTGAAAGGCTATTGTGGTGGGTGGACAGGGCGGAGAGGAAAGCTATGAGGAAGTTTCCAATGATTGATTGTAAAATATTTGAAGGCAGAAGCATATTAAAAAGCCTATGGAGACATTTACAGAGTGAGTAACTGAGGTTCCCTGCCATGAATCAATAGCCCTTGCTAGCCACATATGTGAGTCACATGGATTTTTTTTCCATCAAGTCAAACCTTCAGAGGACTGTACTCTAAATTGTTGTTGCATAAGAAATTCAGGACCAGGATTACTCTGCTAAATCATTTTCAGGATCCTGATCCCACAGAAATTGTGAGATCCCTAAATTTAAATTTAACCAATAACTTTTGAAGTAATTCAGCTATAGATAATATAGATTCTAATCTTATCTTAAGGTTGTCCAGACAAGGTGAGATCCA